TCATTATAAAAATACTCTAAAATTTAAGAAATCCCTCTACAGAAAGGAACAATGGGAGGCACTTGACAAAGCGATCAAATTGTGGGATGACAAAAAGTTCTGGGAAATAATTGCCCAGGAGTTTCACCCAAAGGGAAAATTGTAACCAACAGTATCTCATCTAACTTATGGTACCAACACTTTTCCCGGCTATATACAGCTCCAAACATTGCTAAACCGAGCCAGTTTCCTCCTCTTAAAAACGATCTATTAATGGGCTGGGATCCTGTTACCGAATCAGAATGTTTACAGCTAATTAAAACACTCAAGAATGGCAAAGCTCCCGGTGAGGATATGATTCCTCCTGAGGTATTTAAACTAAATGCCCAGTGGTGGGCTGCTATTTTGGCCCAACTTTTACGGTAATAAATGATATATGCAAAATCCCAGAAAACTGGAAACTGAGCCTGGTAGCCCCCATCTATAAGAAGGGAGACCCCCAAGACCCCTCAAACTATCGCCCCATAAGTCTCCTGGACATTGTGTATAAACTTTACACTCGCTACCTGCTAAATAAACTGGTTGACTGGGCTGACCACTCTAACCTGCTTAATCCGGAACAGGCAGGGTTTAGAAAGGGCCATAGTACAACAGGCCATTGTTTGGTACTACAGACAATGATAGATAAGTATACAAAGGTACATAAGAGCAAACTTTTGTGGCTTTCAGTAGATCTCACATCCGCTTTTGATTCAATCTGTAGGGACAAATTATGGCAAAAATTATATGAAACAGATATTGATAGACGACTTCTCAAAATACTTAGAGAGTTACATTCAGACACCACAGTTAAAATCAGAACTGGGATGTCAGGCAACTATACTGATCCACTGCCACTGGGGAAAGGGGTTAAACAGGGCTGTTTGTTAGCGCCATTCCTCTTTAATTTCTATATAAATGACATTGTTCAACATATGGCAAAGTATAAGTCATCAGCTCCTGCCCTGGAAGGCAAACACCTGAATATATTACTATATGCTGATGACATGGCTGTCATGGCACTTACTCGAAGGGGTCTACATAGCATGCTGGAGGGGCTCGCAGCTTATTGCTCCCAAAACTCTCTAAAGATAAATTATGACAAAACAAAAATTGTGGTATTTACTAGAGCTCGCCACACACTTAGATGGTCTTTAGATGAACACAAAATTGAACAGTGTCTTTTTTTTAAATATCTTGGTATCACTTTCCAAGCTACATCTAGCTGGCTTGCCCACTTCAAGACTGTAGCCCTTCTAACACGTAGGACAATCGGTGCCCTGCTCAGCTTTTTTATTCGAGGGAGGGCAACTGGTGATCCCGGCATTAAAAGCTTTTGTTGGAAAAGTGATTCCCCAGATGCTATATGGAGTAGAACTCTGGGGATGGAATCAGAAGCTGTTAGAACGGCTTGAAATCTTCCAAAATTTCTACCTCAGAAGAATTCTAGGCCTTCCTCAGAGTACTCCGGCAGCTCTCCTAAGAGTGGAAGTAGGATTACCTTCTGTGTCTGCCAGGGCCCACTTAAGATTCCTGCGTTTTTTCACCAACCTCACAGATGCCCCGAACACCTTATTGGCTAAACAAGCCTTTGTATTATTACAAAATAATACTACTTGGCATAAAAACCTACTAGATATCCTATCCAGATACAATCTACCTGAGTTTAATACCCTTAAATTGTGGAGCCCTGATAAAGTTCGGGAATGGATCTTTGAAAAAGACGCCTTTTGGACTCCACAAAGATAAAAACTCTGGGTTTTCCTACTGGCTTCCCGAGTAAAAGCAGTCAAAATCTGTGCCAACTACTTGGTGGAGATCACTGACCCCACCCTTCGGAGAGCTTTCACTATGGCACGGTTTCAAACACTGCCAACTGCATATCTGACCGGTAGATTCACAAAAACCCCAGTAGAACATCGTTTATGCCCTTGCCTTATGAAAATTAAAGAGGATCTTACACATTACCTCCTCTATTGCCCCATCTACTCGAGCTTTAGAGACGCATTGCTGCAAATTATACCCAACTCTATAACCAATCCTGAAGATAGAGTAAAATTTTTGTTAGTTGATGCAAACCCACGTATTACCCATGTGGTAGCGGTTTTTGTGATAAAGGCCATGAAAGCCAGGGAAAGACTTATGGATGACAATGTAAAGACCCCTTCATCGTCTGTTTAACTCGTTGCTCGTTTTCCCTCTCTTTCTATTTTGTGGGATGAAGGTTTTGTTGGCGTAGTATGTAATGAATTTTAATATCTTTTAACTATTGTTGTGTTAATGTTTGTGTACAGGCATGGTCCTCACAATAAACGGATTTGTCTTGATATTTTTCTAAGGACCAAAGTAGTAGCCTTCCTTGGACCTTTTCTTCTTCTTTTTCCTGAATTTGTAACTTCCTTGTTGTCTTTCAACTGACAGTAGCGTTCAGCTTAGCACTGGAGAACAGAGATTCATAAATCTGATAACTCCCCTTCCCTGTCATCAGTTCCTTGAAACACTTCCTGAAACTGTGGCAATGCCATTTCAACATCTGGAAATGACAGATAATCCTCTCTATATTGATTTTACAAGCTTATTTATTTATATTTTATTGAAACAACTTATATGCTGCTTAACTACAATAGTATCTAAAAGCAGTTTACAAAGATACAATGCAAAAAATAAAAACCAGTTAAAACTATGAAATCAAATCACCAGTTAAAATACTATCTGGAATTATTATTATTTTTAAATCTTCATTAGATGCTGGAAGTGCAACAGGGAGGAGGCCTGCCTGACCTCAGATGGAAGAGGGCACCATAAAACTGGGCCCACAATATTAAGTTCATATCTTCTGAGGGATATGAGCCTTGAATCCCAAAAGACATCTGTGATCGGGCAGGGATATAAAGGATTCTGCAATCCTTGAGGTATCCTGGACCCAAGTATTTGGCTTAAAATTAACTCTTGTGGTTCATCCAAATCTGCAGGGGAAATTCTTGCTGCTGTTGACAAAGAGGGCTTGAGGAACAACACTTTTACTTACTTTACTTCAGACCATGGCGGCTTTTTGGAGGCTAGAGAGGGTATTACCCAGCTAGGTGGCTGGAATGGTATATACAAAGGTAAGGCAGCTTTCCTTCAATTCTCCATGCCCATGTATAGATTACTGTACTTCAATGTGCCTGTGTGTCTGGAAACTTCCATGCGTACAGAACAAAGCTTTGAGAGGGCAAACTGGGCTTCTGAATTACAAACATATAATGCTACTACAAAGGCACGTTGACTGGCTCCCAAAGTAAGGTAAAGGGACCCCTGACCATTAGGTCCAGTCGTGACTGACTCTGCGGTTGTGGCGATCATCTCACTTTATTGGCCGACGGAGCCGGCATACAGCTTCCGGGTCATGTGGCCAGCATGACTAAGCCGCTTCAGGCAAACCAGAGCAGCACACGGAAATGGCGTTTACCTTCCCGCTGGAGTGGTACCTATTTATCTACTTGCACTTTGACATGCTTTCAAATTGCTAGGTTGGCAGGAGCAGGGACCGAGCAACGGGAGCTCACCCCGTCACGGGGATTCGAACCGCCGATATTTTGATCGGCAAGCCCAAGAGGCTCAGTGGTTTAACCCACAGCGCCACCCGTGTCCCATGGCTCCCAAAGTGGGTTGCAACAAATTATTATGACATAACAAAATTTAAAATAGTGGTTAAAAAATAATAGCATCAGTGGCTTAAAACTGTTCTTAAATAGAACATCCATAAAACCACCTGGATCCCCATCCCCCAAGTCTTTAAGATTTCTTAAATGGCCAAAGAGTGGGGGACTTATGAATTCATTTTGACCATCACAGATATGGGAGATCCCTGATATTCGCCAAGCTTACTGCTTTCATAGGTGGATCACAAAACAGTGCCTTGGATATCAGTCTTAAAGCTTGGGCAGTTATATATACGAACTTATTTATGTCAAGAGCCTGCGCATCCTCTTTATCAATATGTGTGTTCCTTCATTATTCATGCTGGGCTCTAGGTTTTTTAAAATGCATTTAACAGCTGATCTCCACTTTGCCGATCTCCACACTGAACTATGACATTCAGCTCATGAATTGTAATTATCTTTCTCTTCTATTACTTCTTCTTTGGCAGGTGGAAAAGGTATGGGAGGCTGGGAAGGAGGAATCCGTGTGCCTGGAATAGTTCGGTGGCCAGGGATAGTCCCTGCTGGCAGTGTTATTGATGAACCAATAAGTCTTCTGGATATTTTCCCCACAGTGGCTCACTTGGCTGGGGCATCCATTCCACAAGACAGGTACAGAATACCGGTCTGAAAGTAGCTCAAGACGATTTGGATTTTAGCCATTAAAATTTGCAAAAATGTGTATATAATCCATAGCATCATCCATTTGCTTGGCTTTCTGACATGTTTTAATCCAGAAACACCTTAAGTGATTTCATCTACAGGTATTCTGTAAAGATTGCATTTAAAAAATATGCTGGCCTGTTAAATTCAAATGGATTTCTCCATATAAGGGCAAAAGCCTGTTGAATCATAGAATTGTAGAGTTGAAAGGATCATCTAGTCCAACCCCCTGCAATGCTGGAATATTATTCCATATCATGTGCTTTTTATTTTCCCAACAGCATTTAATATTTTAGGATTCCCCTCCCTTTTTCTCCATTTCAAATGGGCTCAAACCCATGACCTTGAGATTAAGAATCTTATGCTCTACCAACTGAGCTATCCCAGACTTTGTAAAATACAAAATCAAATGTAAATCTTTCTTTTTATTACAAGACCACATATTTAAATAGAAGGCAGGGGCTTTCTTGGTAGTGGCGCCCACCCTGTGGAACTCCCTCTCGTCAAGGAAATAAACAACTATCTGACTTTTAGAAGACATCTGAAGGGAGCCCTGCTCAGAGATGTTTTTAATGTTTGATGTCGTATTGTGTTTAAATTTGTTGGAAGCTGCCCAATAGGTAGGAATTTGGGACCTATGGTTGACATCGTTATGCCTGATCAATTGCACAATGGACTTCTGCTTGCCTGACTACCTCAGAAGCTCACCACCTCTACTCCAGTGGGTCCACCAACCATCCAGATTGGATTCTGGAGGATGGATAGAAAGCTGCAGTTGGTAGGAGAAGGGGGCAATACAAGGGGAAAGTGTCTTATTTGAGTGGAAGTTGGCTCATCTGTTGATGAGTATTACCTTATGCATTTGCCTGACTGAAAACTGTTCATTCAATTAAATGGAAAAATTGATAGTGCCAAGACTAGCGCAACTCCTAAGGCAGAATAAGGACTCATAAGGACAGAATAATACCACTCAGTGGATTTGTAACTGGCTGACTGACCGAACCCAAAGGGTGCTCATCAATGGTTCCTCTTCATCCTGGAGAAGAGTGACTAGTGGGGTGTCACAGGGTTCTGTCTTGGGCCCGGTCTTATTCAACATCTTTATCAACGACTTGGATGATGGACTCAAGGGCATCCTGATCAAATTTGCAGATGACACCTAACTGGGAGGGGTGGCTAACACCCCAGAGGACAGGATCACACTTCAAAACGACCTTGACAGATTAGAGAACTGGGCCAAAACAAACAAGATGAATTTTAACAGGGAGAAATGTAAAGTATTGCACTTGGGCAAAAAATGAGAGGCACAAATACAAGATGGGTGACACCTGGCTTGAGAGCAGTACATGTGAAAAGGATCTAGGAGTCTTGGTTGACCACAAACTTGACATGAGCCAACAGTGTGACGCGGCAGCTAAAAAGCCAATGCAATTCTGGGCTGCATCAATAGGAGTATAGCATCTAGATCAAGGGAAGTAATAGTGCCACTGTATTCTGCTCTGGTCAGACCTCACCTGGAGTACTGTGTCCAGTTCTGGGCACCACAGTTCAAGAAGGACACTGACAAACTGGAACGTGTCTAGAGGAGGGCAACCAAAATGGTCAAAGGCCTGGAAATGATGCCTTATGAGGAACGGCTAAGGGAGTTGGGCATGTTTAGCCTGGAGAAGAGGGGGTTAAGGGGTGATATGATAGCCATGTTCAAATATATAAAAGGATGTCACATAGAGGAGAGAGAAAGGTTGTTTCCTGCTGCTCCAGAGAAGCGGACACGGAGCAATGGATCCAAACTACAAGAAAGAAGATTCCACCTAAACATTAGGAAGAACTTCCTGACAGTAAGAGCTGTTCGACAGTGGAATTTGCTGCCAAGGAGTGTGGTGGAGTCTCCTTCTTTGGAGGTCTTTAAGCAGAGGCTTGACAACCATATGTCAGGAGTGCTCTGATGGTGTTTCCTGCTTGGCAGGGGGTTGGACTCGATGGCCCTTGTGGTCTCTTCCAACTCTATGATTCTATGATTCTATGATTCTATGACTCTTACAGGAAATATGGCGGCACAGAGAAGATCCTGTAAATCCTGTATCCTCTTTCTTTCCCCCCCTTCCTTCTATCCTGGCACATTTTGCCCTGAACTGTATGTAGTAGTAGAGGGCCAGGCTCAGGGTGGCTAACACCAAATATAAATTACAATAAAACATAATAGAAAAAAAGAAAAACAGTTACTTAAAATACGGCTGAAAATACAGCTGAAAATGCAGCCTCATTCTAATAGTAGCCCATAAATCAAGGACATAAAGGAAGGAAACATCAGATATTCACCTGAGCCAGCTATCCATGCTGGTCCTACATGGGCCAGCAAAAAAGCCAAGGGAAAATTTATATACCAAATCCCATACAAAGGGTCAGACTGAGTCCAAGCCAAAGGCCAGGCGGAACAGCTCCATCTTGGGACTTCCGGAGGCGGCGCCAGCGGTCGATGGCGGATTCCCTCGGCTAGAGGGAATAAGCGCCACGAAAAAAGGGTCGAATCCCGCTTCGGCGCAGCGGGGGACCCCTAAAAATCACAGGCGGGGGAAGCCTGTGAACCTGGGACCCAGCGGGCACATTTGGTGTTCCCCCCCAACCCGGCAAAAGCCCAGAAACGGGCTTGAAATCGGAGCGGGGGAGAGCGCTGTGCTGTGGGCTGTCTGCTCGTTCGTGGTGTGAAGCCGCAAGCTGTCGACCGGAGAGCGCTGCCTTTCTTTCTTAAAATCCGGACTTGGAAACCAACGATCCGTGAGTAGGATATACTCAAATTGGAACTGTATAAATTGGAACTGAAATTAGGCTGAAAACGGAAGGAGGTTTAAAAAGGAAGTCAGCCTCCTTCTATTGTAGATAGACTTAAAGCATTGAACTTGAAAACGGAAGCTTTTGGAAAGGACGTTTTTAGCGGACTTAAATCCAATCATCGAACCTGGACTTTTCCCTCTATAAGTTGAGGGAAAATAGGGGGAGATCTCTGGAGGTGATTTCTTTATAAAGAGTGGAAAAGAAGAGATTAAACCATCACTCAATTTCCTGGGAAAGGATTCTCCAGATCTTAGGGGGGAAAAAGAGGTACTGTCCTTTAATATATTTTGACAGCTAGTCCTGCATTGGATAAAAAGTTTGGATAAGATCTTGTGAATATATATCTCCTGGTCCTAAGTTGAAAACTGTGATAGACTGTTTTCCTGTTGAACAAACTAGGGGGACTTAAAAAGGAAATTAAAATATCCAAGAACTTTTAGGACTGTTACAATGTCCCCCAGTGGAACTTGGAACTGTTGCAACTTATTACAACTGTAACTGTAGCAGGCTTGAGGAGTTCTCACACTGCTTGGGAGGAAATTTCCACAGTACAATTCTAACTACGTGTCTGACCTTGAGAATTATCTAAGGAATGGCAGATAAAGAGAAGACGGATGCTTCGACTACAAGATCGGGGAGGAATATTCGCACAGAAGAAGGATCACAAAGGAGAGCTTCGGCCTCAGGCCCTTCTGGAACCTCAACAACAGCCTCATCGGCACAATCAAAGGTAAAAAGCTCGACAAGTGAAGAAGCCTTTGCTCAAGTTTTGGCCAAAGTTAATGAATCTTTGAGTAAAATAAGTCAACAAGTAGCAGAGGCTTGTGAGAAGATTGATCAAAATACAATAAGTATTAACCAAAATACAGCAAGTATAAATAATTTGGGCCAAAAAGTAAATACCAACACTGAGACTATTCAGAAATTATTAGAGGAATCGGCCGCAATTCGCCAGATTGCTGAAGAGGCTAAAGAAATTGCTACAACTTCTGCTACGGATGTTAAGGAGGTTCAAGAGGAATTACCAACATTGCATAAACAATTGGAAGACCATAAACTAACTCTGTCTATGATAGATTTGAGGGAGAAGCAAGTGAATCTTCGGGTCAGATCAGTACCAGAGGTGGAAAAGGACAATTTAGCTGAATTTCTCACGCAGGAATTTTTGGACTTTTGGGACCCAGAACTGGCAAAAGACAGTTTCACAATAGTAAATGCATTTAGACTTGGGAGAAGAGGAGAGAAGAAGGTGAGAGACTGTCTGATTACTTTTAGAACAAAAGAAGAGAGGGATAAGATTTTGGGCTTACACTTCAGGAAAACATTGGAAATCCATCAGAAAAGGGTGGAAATATTCAAAGACATCCCGAAATATCTTCTGGATCTCAGATCAAAATACAAAGACCTGGTTATCCTGCTGAGAAGGAACAACATTAATTTCAGGTGGGAACTCCTCAAGGCCTGTCTTTTAGCTACAAGGAAAGAAGAGGAAAATAAGATCGGAAGACGATAAAGATAAATTTTACAGGGACCACGGAGAAGACTTACAAAAAGAACTATTTCCGGAACCAAAAGATCGTTCGAAAGAAGGGATACCACCGACGGACGAGGAACAGGCACTAGGTGCAGTAGGAGGAGAATCAAAACAATAACATCATGGCCCTGCAACTTTTAACATGGAACTGCCGGGGTTTGAATTCCCCTCAGAAGAGGAAGTCAGTATTTCATATATTAAAAAAGGAACAATTAGATTTAATTTGTTTACAAGAAACACATATAACGAGATTACACAGGAAATTGTTAATAAACAAAAGACTTGGTCAGGAATTTATTTCGTCGGATAAAGTTAAAAAGAGAGGGGTCGTGATCTACGCAAAAGACAATTTATCACCAAAATTTGTTTTCAAGGATGACCAAGGAAGATTTGTGGCAATTGAAATTCAAACACAAGGAGAAAAATTTTTGATCGTAGGAGTTTACGCACCAAATGATGGGAAATCCGATTTTTTTAAGAAGTTGCATGAGACCTTGATGGACCATATGGATTACAACATAATTTTGATGGGAGATATGAATGGAGTGGTATCTACTTACATGGACAAGGCACAAAAACAGGTAGTCACCAAAGATGGTAGACTACCGAGAACCTTTTTTGATATGACAGACAACTTGGATTTAGTGGATATTTGGAGAATTAGAAACCCCTTGGCAAAAGAAGGAACTTTCTTTTCTGAAGCCAAAATGACTTGGACAAGAATTGACCAAATCTGGATAACTAGAGGAATGGCACCAAAAACAAAAAAGGTGGAAATCTGCCCGAAAATTTGCTCCGACCATAATGCTGTTAAGATGGAAATGAGACTAATGCCAACTGGCTCCTTCAGATGGAAGATGAATGACACCTTATTTAGAGATGAAGAATTTCTTAAGAAGGCCCAAAAAACTTTAAGAGACTACTTTGAGATAAATCTTAGTTCCAACGTGGAGAAAAGAGTAATCTGGGATGCAAGTAAAGCTGTTATGAGAGGGTTCTTAATACAACAGAATGCGATAAAGAAAAGAACTCAAAATGAGAAGAAGGATAAAATTATGAACAAAATGAATGAATGCGAAAAAGATTGCGAGTAAATCCCAAATCTCAAGAGACTCTGAGAGAGTTAAAGTTATATCAAGTACAATATATGAAAATAATGAATCAGGAAATAGAATGGAAAATTAAACAAATGAGACAAAAGACTTTTGAATCGGCCAATAAATGTGGTAAACTGTTGGCATGGCAAATGAAAAAGAGACAAAAATTAAATACGATTACGAATTTAGAAGTGGATGGAAGGAATATACAGAACCCTGCAGAGATTAGAAGTTGTTTCCAGAAGTATTTTAAAAGACTATACACTCAAGGGCCCGTGAAAGAAACAGACTTAGATCTATTTTTGAAAACAAATGGATTACAAAAAATATCCCAAGAAAAGAGACTAATTTTGAATGACAGAATAACGGAACAGGAAATAGAAGGTGCCATTCAAAATATGCAACTGGGTAAATCTCCAGGCCCAGACGGCTTGACCTCTAGATACTACAGATCCTTAAAAGATTGGTTAATTCAACCATTGAAAGAGGTCTGCAACGAAATAATGGAGGGGAGGAGGGCACCAGAGTCGTGGAAAGAAGCATATATTACACTTGTACCAAAAACAGAGGCTGAAAAGACACAACTAAAGAACTACCGCCCAATATCATTACTTAATGTGGATTACAAAATTTTTGCAGATATTTTGGCGAAGAGATTTAAAAAAAGTGCTGTTGGAAGAGATTCATAAAGACCAAGCGGGCTTTCTCCCAAGAAGACACTTGTCTGATAATCTGAGGAATATAATTGATATTTTGGAAAAATTAGAAGTGAATATAAACACTAAAGCAGTGTTGATATTCGTAGACGCGGAGAAAGCCTTTGACAATATTTCTTGGAATTTTATGAAGAAGAATCTTCAGGGTATGGGGGTAGGCCAAGGTTTTGAGAATGGTATAAGTGCAATTTATTCAGAACAAAAGGCTAAACTAATTGTAAATAACGTTGTGACGGAAGAACTTAAAATTGAAAAAGGGACACGACAAGGGTGCCCAATTTCCCCTCTTCTCTTTGTTTCGGTCCTGGAGGTGTTGCTGAATATGATTAGAAGGGACCAGTTGGTTAAAGGTATACAGGTCGGAACTAAACACTATAAATTGAGAGCATTTGCAGATGACTTAGTATTGACGTTACAGGAGCCAGAATCTAGTACAAAAAGGGTTTTAGAACTGATTCAAGAATTTGGTCAAGTGGCAGGATTTAAATTGAACAAATCAAAAACCAAGGTTTTAGAGAAAAATTTAACACCGTTTGAAAGAGAGAGGTTTCAGAATGAGACAGGGTTAACAGTGGTTAAGAAAGTTAAATACCTGGGGATTAACATGACAGCAAAATGGGAATTTATTTAAAGATAATTATGAAAAATGTTGGTCAGAAGTGAAAAAGATTTAGAAATTTGGTCAAACTTGAAGCTTTCACTGCTAGGCCGTATTGCTGCGATAAAAATGAATGTATTGCCTAGAATGTTGTTTTTGTTTCAAACTTTGCAGATTGTGGACAAAATGGACTGTTTCAAGAGGTGGCAGAAAGATATTTCTAAATTTGTCTGGCAGGGCAAGAAACCTAGAATAAAATTTAAAATACTAACAGATGCAAAGGAAAGAGGTGGATTTGCCCTGCCAGACCTCAAACTTTATTATGAATCAGCAGCTTTTTGCTGGTTGAAAGAATGGCTACTTCTTGAAAACACTGACATTTTGGATTAGGAAGGTTTCAATAATGTATTTGGATGGCATGCATATTTATGGTATGATAAGGTCAAAGCACACAAAGCATTTAAAAACCACATTGTCAGGAAAGCGCTATTTAATGTTTGGATAAGATATAAGGATTTGCTAGAAAATAAAACCCCAAGGTGGCTGTCACCAATGGAAGCGAAAGCCTTGAAAAGGGTCAATATGGAGGTCAAATGGCCGAAATATTGGGAAATTTTGGAACAAGACGGAGATAGACTGAAATTGCAGAGTTTTGAAAAACTAACAAACAAAGTGCGAGACTGGCTCCATTATTATCAAATAATGGAGGCATTTAAATTAGACAGGAAAATTGGCTTCCAGGTGGAAAAATCAAAATTAGAAACAGAATTGTTAGAACCCAATACTAAGAATCTGTCAAGAATGTATAACTTGCTGCTGAAATGGAATACTCAAGATGAAACGGTAAAATCGGCTATGATTAAATGGGCACAGGACGTAGGACATAACATTATGTTTGCTGATTGGGAACAGTTATGGACCACGGGTATGAAATTTACGGCATGTAATGCCTTAAGAGAGAATATTATGAAAATGATATACAGGTGGTACATAACCCCAGTCAAGCTTGCGAAAATCTATCACTTGCCCGATAACAAATGTTGGAAATGTAAAGAAACTGAAGGTACATTTTTTCACCTTTGGTGGACGTGCCCAAAGATTAAGGCTTTCTGGGAAATGATATATAATGAATTAAAAAGGTATTTAAGTATACCTTTCCCAAGAAACCAGAGGCCTTTCTCCTGGGCATAGTGGGCCAAATGGTGTTAAAAAGGGATAGAACTTTCTTTATGTATGCAACAACAGCAGCAAGAATACTCATCGCAAAGTATTGGAAGACACAAGAACTTCCCACGCTGGAGGAATGGCAGATGAAACTTATGGACTATATGGAATTGGCGGAAATGACTGGCAGAATCCGTGACCAGGGAGAAGAGTCGATGGAGGAAGACTGGAAGAAATTCAAAGACTATCTTCAGAAACACTGCAAAATTAAGGAATGTTAGAGTGATGTTGGATTGAAAATAAGTGGTTTCCAGCTGTACAGGTTAAAGGTAAAGATAGATTAAGATTTAAGATCAAGATTAAAGATGTTTAAAGAAATGGAAATTGGATAATAAAAGGGAAAAATTTAAAGGTATATGACATTAAGAACAAGGATTATGTTTAAAAAGTTGAAGTTATATATTTTAATATTTTATTAAATTAAAGATTGGGTTTAAAAAAGTGGAAAAGAAACTGCTGGACAAATAACGTAGATTGGAATACAAAAGAGGGAGGTATGAGGAAGTCCAGAAAATAAGTAATTTAAATTTGGGAATGGAAAAGAGAGTTTGTTTTAAATTGTTATGTTTTGCGTTTTTATTGTTAAATTTTATATTGTTTTTCTGTGTGTGTTGTTTTTTCTTTTTTCTTTGTTTAAAACTTTAATAAAAATTATTTATAAAAAAAAAAAAAGGAACAGCTCCATCTTGCAGGCCCTGTGGAAAGATGTCAAATCCCGCAGGGCCCTGGTCTCTTGTGACAGAGCGTTCCACCAAGTCAGGGCCAGTGCTGAAAAGGTCCTGGCTCTAGTTGAGACCAATCTAACCTCCTTGAGACTCAGGACCTCCAAAGTGTTGTTATTTATGGACCTTAAAGTCCTCCACGGGGCATACCAGGAGAGGCGGTTCCTTAGGTATGAGCTAAAGAATCAGTCATCGGCCTATGCTGTACAGTACTACTTTACTAAATGTATTATTACTTTTCTTAGGGTGATTGATGGAAGGAACCAGATAGCTTTGCTACAGGGAGCAGTGCAGCACTCAGAGCATGAATTCATGTTTCACTACTGTGGGTCGTACTTGCATGCAGTGCGCTGGTACCAGAAAGAGAGTGAGTAGAAAATATTATCCTTATATCAGATATTGGGTCACTGAAATAAAATGCGTAGCTCATGATTCAGTGTGGCATCTTGACACTAACTTGCTTGCTTCTCAGACTGTGTGCACACCATACATTTAAAGTGCATCATGGGAACTGTAGTTTATTAAGGTGCTGGAGATTTTTGCTCTGTGAAGGGTAAACTACAGTTCCCAAGATTCTTTGGGGGCAAGCCATGCAGTTTCAATGTGCTCTAAATGTATGGTGTGTCCACACAACTGCACTCAAAGCTATAGGTTGTGCTGTATGGATTTCACTATTAGAAACATGAGGATTTGGTACTGGGTAGCCTATTATCCATTTCTGGGTCGAGTGTCCATGTTTGTCTCTTATGACTGCTAGGTTGAGATTGAAAACATTTTGGAAATGCTTGGTGAAATCTCAAAAGCTGGAATGGATTCTACCTGTGAGTTGCCAATAGCAAGCTCACACACTCGCTAACCTGTATCAGAGCATTGAGTATCTTCACGCACTAACCACAATGTACACAAAATAATGTGCGAGACATTCTATATCTGTGTATATCCATTCTCTATGAACTGACTGTCTGGGGGGTCACAAAGGGGGCAAAACAATGTCTCTCTCCTGAAGTCTTTCTCAAAAGTTGAGTCAGGTGACATGTTGAGTCAGCCACAGTTGGCCATGGGGTACCAACAACATTACTTGCTAATGTTATTCGCCTGCAGGCTGGTGAGTAAGATATGCACACTTCTCTGAAGGAAGCTCCATTGAACAGGGTGGGATTTTCATATGATTAAACATGCACAGCATTGCTCTTGCTTGCAGTAAGGGTTGAGCACTGATGACAAGAATACAACAATTTTGTGCCTGATGGATCTTGTCTGTTTTGAAGGAGTTGGGTTTGATAATTTTGACGGGTTTCTTTCGGCAGTACAGGTCCGGAATTCAACAAAATTAAGAAATCAATAGTACCAAGCTTAATCTTTGTACCAAACTAGAGAATATCAAACAAATAAAGAAATAGGCTTCTTCTTCTTCTTCTTCTTCTTCTTCTTCTTCTTCTTCTTCTTCTTCTTCTTCTTCTTCTTCTTGCATTAATCTGGAAGTGTGCATCATTCAGCGTCCTTTTCACCAGTTTGTTGGAATATATGGTAACTAGATGCTGAATATGTGTATTATATGATATTCCACTAGAGGGCAAAGATATCCAAGCTTTCTTTGAACAAACATGCATTTTATTCTTTCCTTTTCCAATGCTTATTTTTCTGAAAAGTAGCTATCTTCACAGCCACAGAATTGCGAAGTGCTTTTGATGCCAGATTTTGAAAGTGATTCAGCTGCAGGTATTATAACCCCCATATGCAAAAACACAGTGTTTTCAGAAAGGGTGGAAATTCTTTTACACAAGTGCAAAAATGTAGTTGAATGCTTAGTTGAATACCACCCTTAATCTTTACTCTTCTTTTTTCAAGTCACTGATTTTTTTAAAAAAATATTCTAATCAGACCATTAGGTGCTGTGTGATTTTTTTAAAATTATATTTGTATTTCTTACCTATTGTAATTTATTGCATTGCAGTTTGCATGCCACAGAAATCAAATTGTAATACAATAAAATGCATACAAGATAAGAAATAAAAAGGAAAGCAACAGTTAAAGAAGAAGAAGAGTTTGGATTTGATATCCCGCCTTTCACTCCCTTTAAGGAGTCTCAAAGCGGCTAACATTCTCCTTTCCCTTCCTCCCTCACAACAAACACTCTGTGAGGTGAGTGGGGCTGAGAGACTTCAAAGAAGTGTGACTGGCCCAAGGTCACCCAGCAGCTGCATGTGGAGGAGTGGAGACTCGAACCCAGTTCCCCAGATCACGAGACTACCGCTCTTAACCACTACACCACACTGGCTCTCTAAAAATCAGTTTGAGTCCTTAATGCAACCATACATCCACAGACACACTACAGACCACCTGAGAGAAGCTTGCAGGCCACTGTTTTAAAGACCCTCTCCTGGAATCAGTGGGCTTTCTTATCTTCCATTCTTAAACGCGATACAGTTAATCAGTATAAACACATTTTTTAAAAATATCTATCTTTAATATTGGAGATGAGATTTTTCTATGAGGTAGGCTCAGCCCCTTATAAGGTATCCTGATGCTACAGTTGAACACCTCCCAAAAATGGCTCCCTCTTCTTGATAGCTGCTCACCAGGGCTATTTTTAGAGCTAACAGTTTTGTGGAGCGGAAAAACAGAATTCCATATCTATCCTGTGGAGAAGCATTCTTCCATGGCAACTAGCAATTCATCATTTTTGACAGAGCTGTATGAGGGTAAAGGCTTCTGAAGCAGCTCCAAATCCCTTGTCCTGGAAAATCTTCTGTTGGAAGAACCAAGTGGTTTAACTATCGTGAACAAATTTGACATCCATTCCAGTGAGAATTCCAAAAAGTGTTTGGAGGACCGCATATTCATCAACTAGAAACTGAATATCTTTAGTTTCTTTTCTCTAAGGTGGTGCTCTCTGGAAGGCCTATTATGTGACTCCAAAATTTCACCGGGGGGGGTGGTGCTTGTTATGGAAGAAGACTGTGTCCGTGTTCTGGAGAGCGAGTAATTCACCACAATCCTCCCTTGCTTTTTGACCTCACATCATCCTTCTGAAACCAGTCCTTTTCCACCAAATTCTGAGCCACTTTTCAACACACTAGAACAGTGATGTCCAACCGGTCGATCGTGATCTACTGGTTGATCGTGTGATCCCGATAGATCTCCAAAAATAATAATAATGAAGTGATAATGAAGATGCACTTATTTAAACAAATAAATTGTAGACTCCGATGACTTTTATAGAACTCCCTTCTTACTGGCCTAGTTCATGTGTAGTAAGTAATGGTTTGCTTAAAGAACCAAGTTGACTTGAAGATGATCAGACAAAACCATGGCTTATCAGACAAAAACTGAACTAGATGGACCATTCATCTGATTTGGTATAAGGCAGAATCTTACATTTGTAGCGGAAATAATTCTGCCCATGGTCGTGAATTCTGCATGTTCCTCTCAATCCAGAAAGAAGTGGTCACATTTTTAAATCATGTACATAATTTAATCATAGTTAAACCCCATTGGAATGGGACTTCAGTGCACCAAACTATGAACTCAGTTACACCTACAAGCATCAGCTCTAACCTTATAAACAAACCAATCTTCCACACTGCTAATGCGGAGAACTTGGATTTAAGCAGATTAATTTTCATTGAGAGCGATGGAGCTAAAGGAGCTTGGTCCTATCTATGCCGTTTTTTAGCTGTTATGTTGACTGAATTGCTAGGCACCTAAAATAAACTACCAGCTTCCCAGTGTGAAGGTGAGATTATGCAGACCCCTACTGAGCTGAGCTCTTTGGAAATTTACAGGCTGGATACTGCACCATGTTATAGGGCTTCTTTCCTACAGCAATCCATCCAAGTGTTGAAAGAGATAATCCAGAGATGAATTACAAGTTTATTCAACCCATGGCCATTAAGCTACTTTGCATGTAGCATTAAATGAGAAGTGGACAGCTCTCCATGGGCTGCTTCAGAGTGTACACCCAATTCTTCCTTTGCAGCCCTGGCATGAATTAAAAAAAGAATTCAGCCCACAGCTGCAAAGGATCAGGAGTTCATGTATGAGTACATTTCCTCTTCTTTTGAGTTTGATGCCATGACGGACATCTGATAAGACAGTATGGCATGGGCCAAATGAGGGGGTCTGCCAGGCCTGATTATTCTAATTAGGCCCATGGACTAGGAGTTCCCCACCACTGCATTGAACTGTGGTTTAAAATAAGCTATAGTTTACAATGAACTAGCATGATGGGAGGAAACCAACCAGCAGATAGGTTGCCATTATGCACAAACCGGCATCAATGGTTTGTTGATGATGGCAAGCCAAGGTTTGTTTTTCCTGGTATGGTGAAGAAAAGTACAAGGGAAGGGGGGTGCTGTGGGGATATTTGAGCAGTGTGTAAAATGCAACAAAGGATACTAATAATAATAATAATAATTTATTACGGCCGTAGGCCCATACAGATAAAAACAAGACATAAATAACAGCCTGTGCACATGGGAAAAAAACAGCCGCTAAAACAATACTATAACAATAAGCTACTATAAGATGGAATGGCATACTACGCCTTAATTAGCTTGTGGTGCTCCTTGGCGACGCGTTTGGGTAAGGACAGCGACCAGGAACCTAGCCACTTTCCGGGTCGTATGGGCATCCTTATCCTGCAAGATTTGGGCAAGGTGGAATTTTGGTGGAGTACCCTCTAATTTCTGTATGATTGATCCCAACAAGTTTGCCCGTGGCACCTTAAATAAGGGGCAAGTGAACATAATGTGCTGAAGCGACTCCGGCATCTCCTTATCACATTCGCACATGGCGGAGGTTTGGCCCTTTGAGAATCTATGTCTCAGGACATTGGAGGGAAAAACATTAAACCTCGCTTTGGTGAAGGCCAGCCTATGGGCAACAGTCGAAAGGGAGGAGAGGTATGATGGAACGCAATAAGTTAAAGTGATCCCAATGTTCTGGGGCGAACAAACACCTCCCCCCAGCATATAATTTTGCTGTAAATCGATGTCATCCAGTCTTTGGCGGATCAGTCTTTGAGCAGTGATTTGATCTAGTTTTAGGGAATCTAAGGGAGAGATTCCATAGCTCAGGAGTTTGGCATGAATTCTACTGGTCCAAAGGCTGGGGAATTCATCTCGCCATAAGCATTGGGCAAGGTAATGGTCTGGTAATCTATGCCACAATGATAACCAATAATTGAAGACTTGCTTCCACAGGCAGGTTTCTAAGGATGCGATCCTCAATTCTAAACGCATGGCTGCGTTGCTTACGCACAGGGGAGCATTAGGAGCCGACGTAGGAATTGGTTTTGCAAAGTCTCAAGAGGAGCAAGGTCTGTCATCACGACCCAGAGCGGGGCAGCATAAGCAAGCACGGGAACC